TTTCTTTTGGATATATCTCACTCATTTTTGTAGGTTAAGAAGATTTAATCTAGAATATTTGATTTGATCTCCAACTGTTCATAAGTTTCTAAAATTTGATGTTGAAACAATTTAGGAAACTTGATGATTTGTTCCAAGATTTAAGGAGACTTTTTTTGTTGCATAATTGATGCAGCCCTCAGCGTGTGGATCAAACAATATGTGGGTGAAGATATCGAAGCCCATGGACTGTTGAGGAATATTTAAAGATCAAACTAAACCTAATATATTTACGGCTTTCACTTTTGTAAAAATAAGGGGAGGTTTTAGAGTCTTAGGTTTTGAGAGTCTCTTTATTATGACTTTGTAAGTCACCCATGTATCTTTTGATACATTGAGGTAGCCTGATTGTATGTTGTTTATTGTTCACTCTAAAGCTTTTAAGCAAGAGTGTATTACTCTTAGTTTGAAGCTTTTAAGCAAAACTAGGTATTGTTTATTGGAAGTGCAATCTTTTATTCTTGTCTATTGTTGAATTATCACTATTTTGTGACTGTTAAAAAGTGAGAGGGGGGTATAATTTCTAGAGAGTTTCTAGGTAGAAGTTAAACAAGATAATGACTAGGCGAGAAGTTGTAAACAGGGGAATTTAGCTTTAAACTAATGCTATCATAGTGAATTTTCTTCCTGGCTTGGATGCCCTCAGATGTAGGTGATGTTGCACCGAACTGGGTTAACAATTGACTGTGTTATTTATCTTTCTGCAATTTATTTTCAATCTAATGTATTTGTTATGTCAAACAGAAGATGTTGTAACATCTGTCTTGACATTATGGTCTGATGTGAGAACATCATTATTAACATGTGTTAGAGTGCCATAATTTCACTTTTTTAGTAAAAAAATCAAGCATGAAATTTTACTTGTGAAAATATATGTCGATGATATTATATTCGATGCTACTAATGAGTCCTTGTGCAAGATGTTTCTGATATGATGCAGAATAAATTTGAAATGTCCATGATAGGAAAGCTTTATAACTTTCTTAGGTTACAAATTCGTCAAACAAAGGAAGACACCTTATACAATCAAGCTAAATATTTTAAAGAGCTATAAAAAAAGATTTTGTATGGATAAAGCAAATCATATCTCAAATCCAATGAGAATTTTGTGTAGTTTAGATAAGGAAGAAGAAGAAAAGTTTGTTGAAGAAAGCAAATATCGAGGCATGATAGGTTCCCTAATTTATCTTTGTGCATATCGTCAAGATATTATGTTTGATATGTCTGTGTGCATGTTTTCAAGCAAGAACCAAAAATTTGCACCTCACTATGGTTAAACTTGTTGAGACAAATTTGGTTCATACCATGTATCCTCCAAGGCTTTGATGATAACAAAGTATTTGAAGAACAATTAGAATTTCTAACTAGCTAGTTTTTATGTACAGAATTATATTTACTTGATGAACTGGTTCTGTCACGAAAGAAGCTATGGTTTGGCTCTGATTGAGTACTTGTGAGAGAGCCTGATCATTAAGTTTTTAATAGTACATTTCATATTCAAAGGCGTGCTATACTTGCATCTAAAACTGAGTAATGTCAACTAATGCTTAGAAATCACGGGACTCAAGAATAGTTGACATTATCTTCAAAATATCGTGTTGTAATTATTTCACAGAAGAGTTCTCTGGATAAAAGCCTTTTTCAGTAGATAATTCTTTGACTACGAGTTCCAAAGCCTGCTTTATTGGAAAATAAGATGTACAAGAAGATTTGATATGAATATAGCCATTAAGTTGCTTCAACAACTCTATTTCTTCAGCTATAAAAGGAGCAGAAGAATTAAAGATCAACTAAGAGAATAACACTGCAACTACAACTGAAATATACACGCATTTCCCACCACTTGTAACAGCTCAAGAGAAACTAATTTGTTTGGAGTTCTTATTCTTGTGTAGGTTAAGAATCTTTAGTGGTAAAGTGTGTTTTATTATATTTGAACACCTCTGATTGTTAATCAAGTGTTGTTGTAAGTTATTCCTTATCTAAACAGTTAGTTTAGATAAAAGTCTCTTGCCTTGGGCTTGAGCAGTGAAGTCTTGGATTCGTAGAATTTGAGCAGGAAGTCTTGGATTGAAGGTTTAAGCAAGGAAGTTTTGAACCTGAGGGGTTTAAGCAGGAAAGTCGTATGATCTGAGGATCTAAGCAGGAAGTCTTGATCTGGTGTTGATTAAGTAAGGAAGTCTCAGGCTGAGCGTCTGAGCAGAAAAGTCATATACTTAAGTGTATAAGAAATTGTAATCTGATTAATTATAGTGGAATTCTCGTGTGCTGCAAGGGGGATGAACTACTCTTAGTTGGAGAGGAACCATGATAACTTTTGTGTGTTCTCTGCCAATTTATTTACTTCTGTCTTTCTATTCGTTTCATTTATTAATCAGAGTCTGAACTTTTGTTTAGATTCTGACATCTGATTAGAAGTAGAAAAGTTTTGGCAAACACAATTCAACTCCCCTTTCTTATGTATTTTTCTCACCTTCAAAACTAATTATGAGGCATCTTACTAGCACACCATTTATGGGTTTATGCTTCCCCAAAGGGACAAATTATACTTTAAATGGATAATATGATTCTGATTTCACTGGTTGTAAATTGGATCAAAAAAATATCATTGGTACATGTCTTTTGCATATAAATTCTCTTGTCTCCTAGCATAACAAGATATAAGAAAATCTTGAGTTATCCACTGCTGAAGTAACATACATCGTTACAGTTAGTTATCGTGTACAAGTTAGTTGGATGAAGCAACAATTAAGTGATTACAATGTTAATCTTAGAAATGTCATGTTAAAATGTGACAACAATAGCGCCATAAATTTCACTAAAAAAATGGGCACTTCATTCCCGGACTAAACATATTGAGATTATGCACCATTTTTTTAGGGATCATGTTGAAAAAGGAGATTGCGTAATTGAGTTTATGTCCTTATCTAATCAATTGGCAGACATTTTTACAAAACCACTTCCTAAATAAAATTTCTTAATCTTTATAAAACAAAGTTAGGGATCTTAAATCAATCATGCATGGATTAAAATATTTAAGTGTTTCTTCTCATTTCTTCTTCTTCCCTTTTTCAATGTGTTATATATGTTCTATGCGCTGTTTGTTTATTCCGTATTTTTGATAATGACAAAGAAGGAGAAGTATACTCTCAAATGGAGTAGAGTAAACTCTCTTTACATGTGATGGTGATTTAACCACTCTGAAATTTTTATCTATCTTTTCTATTTTACCATCTCCTTAATAGCTGCATTATCATCATAAAAAAGAGAGGGAGTGTGGTTTTATGTGATGTGCAAGTAATATATATTATCAAATGGTTTTGATGATGACAATTGTTAAATGGTTGTGTTGATGACATCTTTCAAATGAAATTGATCACAACAACTCTTTCAATGGTTCCTGATGATGGCATATGAACAAGAAATAGATATCTTAAGTCTCATCAGTCAAATGTGTCAAATTTTAGAAAGGTAAAAATACATTGACTAATCGATTATGACGTCTTTCTAATCGATTAGAAAATCAAACTATCCTATTTTAGTTTGGTTAACCGACTAGTACATAGTTTTAATCGATTAACTCATTAAAAAGGTCCATGGTTTGCTTCATTTTTTAGTCAAATTTTTTTCCTATATAAAATAGGTTTCTCCTCATTTCACAATACACAATTTTTTAAAAATAGAAACTCTTAACTATTATTCTTTCTCTCATTCTTTTATATAGTTCTTTTTTACTAGAGTTGTCTTAGTGGCAAAAGAGTAAAAAGTTCAATTTGAAAATTGTGTTGTACAAGTGATGCGCTGATATTGTTTATTCAATGACGTAGTTTTCTTATGATCCTTTTGTAATAATTTTGATGGTTGCAAGTTAAACCTATAAAAATCTTGGGATGAAAGTTATTGAGTTATGCTTGTACAAAAGCTCTAGTTATTTAAGGTTATTGAGGTAAATCTATATAAAACCTCTAGTTGTTTATGAAAAATCGTTGGAGTGATCATAAAAAAAAGCTTAAGTTGTTTTTTAAGATTGTTTAGGTTGATTGTGAAAATGTTCAAGATTGTTTTAGTGGAAATCTCAAAAAAAAAAAATTTAATGAGTGAAGTAGATCAAAATATTTAGGTCGAATATAGAAGTTCTTTAGTGTAATTTTTTTTATCACTTATGTCTTTTATTTATTTATTTTAATCTTGCTGCTTAATTCTTGTTTCTTTTCTTCCGAATTATTCCAATCCTTTTTCTCTTCTTTTTCTATCATGGACATAAATGTTTTTAAAATTATAAGTTTTATAAATCAATATTTAGAATTTTGAATATCAAGTTTCACCCCTTTGGAGTCACTTATCAATAGTAATTACACACTCTGAAATACACATGTCGTTCTCTAGCTATCTTTACATGACTAAGCAATGTTGAAGGTTGTCATTAGCCTAGAATAGAACATGCGACAAACATGCACGCCATTGGTAGTTATAAATTTTACAATAAACTTCTGTTGAAGGAATTATAATAACTACTTAATATATGATAAATCATATCTAACTCTCAAACGATTGTCAATTCTCCATATGCCAAATTAAACATGCCATTTACTTCCTAATCAATTTTATTTTATTCATATAATATAAAATATTATATCAAACATTTTATTCTTTTGATAAATTCATATTCTAATAATAAAAAAAAACTAATAACAATTGGATGGTGCGAATTTATTTGCAGAATAATTCTTCTTTTTTTATGTGTTGAATGTGTGTTGTTTTTAATATACTTTACTAATATAATTTAATATAGTTTTTTAAGTAAAAAATTTGTATTTCCAATAATGTCACCAATTAAGCAAGGGAGGGGATGACCAACAAAATCCAAATAATATCTCTAATTAAAGCAATGAAATTTATTGGTACATCAAAAATTATTGGAAAGAGTCTTCAATATTTAGCACGTCTGCAAATGCTATGAGCTAAGTCGACATGAAGTTGCATTTGTCATAACCTGCCAAATCAACAGTGAATTGAGAAAAATGTCAGACTGTCAATAGTCCATAGTTTTAAATTGAAGCCTCAAAATAAAAATTTGAAACCACAAAAACCATAACACGACGAGGTGAGACATTGAAATGACACAACAAACGACTAAATAAGTTTCTCATTTCAACCAAAAAAAAGAATCTCAATATGAAACCTGTGAACCGTTAATTTTGTCATATGATTTCAATAAAATAATATTTCTCAAAAAATTTAATTTATATATATTTTCAATGTAAATAAATTGTTCATTACTATTAAGCAATATAACCTATAAACAATGCTGTAATTTTATTAGTTCAACTCATAATTGTTAGTTGAGTGCTGCAGTTTATGTAAATCGATATTTTTGAAAAAATACGTGTTTTTGTTTATGTCGGTATTTACATCAACGCTTATATTATATTTAATTTTTTTTTTAAATATTACTGATAACACCGTGTCAATGTCGAAGTCGTATTCAAAATGTCCGTGATTTATAGGTAATGATATTTAAAGATGGTAGCAGAAACTTACTTGGATCAACATTGACAAGCATAGCAGTACCACCAAAATCACAAGTGCCCCCACCAATCTTAGTATTCTGCCAATAGCTATTGAAAGCAAAAGAAGCATGGGCCAACAAAGTGTTGGGCTGAAAGCATAACCCATTGGGCTGAATTGATTTGCAATCTGCCCCAGAGCCACATGCATAGTCCATAGCAAATTGTATTATAGGATCAGGAACCGTAGGCTTTGCAACACACCAAATAGCATAGTGTGGGGGTGAGTTTTTATGAGGTGAGGGTGGTGGTGGTGGATAAGCCATAGGTGGGCTTATAACCGTTTTAGGTGGGCTTGGAACATGTTTTGGCGGGCTTGGAGGTGGTGGTGGTGAAATTGTAACAGTGGTTTTTGGACTTGGTGGTGGGTTTGGAAGAGAGGAATAAGGTTGTGGTGCAAGTGAATTGAAAGGTGGTAATGGTTGAGAAGATGGAGAACCATATGAATCAATGTCTAAGTATTCAAATGATGAAAATTTGTTAAAACGGTTTTGAGATTCTAGTTTCTTCCATGATTTGATGGAGGAGCTTCTACTAACTATACCTCTACCATGTTTTACTGCACCTGCAAATATTATATATACAACATAAGTTAAATATATTTTGTTAAGAAATAGTAATTACTATAACACACTAATAGATACAAAGTGTATGGATTATAATACTATATATGCAGGGTTTACCACTTACCAGACAGAGGGAAAACAGTGGAAACTAGGATCAAGAGACAAAGATGTGCAATACTGGCTCTAAGGATGTAAGCTCTTGAATCCATTGAGATTGGATCAATACTTCAGTGGTTTTTGTTGAGAGTACGTAAGAGCAATGGAGTGTAATATAAGTAGTTGGCAGCCGTAAAGTATATAGATATAGATATATAAAGTAAAGTTGATTCTGTTGTTGCTTTAAGTAATATGTTAGTAAGTAAACAATCTGCTGAAATGATAAAGGACAAGTAGTGACTGTGTTGGATTGCATTTCTTAGGAATCTCTGGATAGTACATAAGAAATAGAGTTAATTAGTTATTGTTGTGTGGAATATATTCTTGCTTGTACATGCATTTTTGTTTTACTTGAATGCCACTCAAAGAACTAGATGAGATAGATCTATGGTAACTTATATGTACTTGATCTCTTTTTTAACGGTATATTTACATGTATTTAAATATATATATATATATATATATATATATATATATATATATATATATATATATATATATATATATATATATATATATATATATATATATATATATATATATATATATATATATATATATATATATATATATATATATATATATATATATATATATATATATATATATATATATATATATATATATATATATATATATATATATATATATATATATATATATATATATATATATATATATATATATATATGCACAAAAAGTATTTAATTAGTCCTCTAACATTAGAAAAAGACTTTCAAGACTCAACCACAATATCTTAGAGTAATAGGCTAGACATAGGAATCGAGTATCACCACACCACATTCAAAGGCAAGATAAGAAAAACAAAACACATTAGAGATGAGCCCCTTGAGTAGGGGCATGTCCCTCAACTGAAGGTATTTATATATAAGGGTGAGTCTCTCAGTTAGGGGTGAGTCTTTTGGGTGAATGCATCAATATATAAGGGTAAGTCCCTTAATTAGGGATGAATCCTTTAGCTAAAGACATCGATATATAAAGGTGAGTCCCTCATGTAAGGGCATATGTTTATCTCGTCGAATGAGTCAGCTGTTAGATGTTCTCTGTTTAACCAAGAAGTATCAGCCAGGGTTGCCAATCAATCGCTTTGCCTGCGTGCTTACTTTTTTTAATGTAATTAATTATGGTATATTTTTCGAAACCTTAAACGTTAGTGGCACGTGTCAGAAACATGATTAGTTTTTTTTTTTCTAAAACCCTGAGGGAACTCAAAGAGTCTTCTACATTTTTCATTATAAAAGATTTCCTTTACTGCATTTTGTTCCATTTTTCCTTCTTTCTGCAAGTTTGTATGAGCTATTTTTCCTCGTCATCTCTTCTTTTGCAACCTTTACTTAAGTATGAACTTTTTTTAATCTTTATTTTCTATAGTGAATTTTTGCGAAGGTATGTGTTAAATTGGGTTTCTTTACAATAGATATAGGGCTTTAGGTCAGCGGTCCCTTTTTGATGATCACGACGGTGGTTGTGATTTCTTTTTGTTCTACTGTTTTCTCAGGAACAAATGTCGTCCTCTTCCATCGTGTCTAAGGATGTTGGCGACTTTGTGTCTAGTTATGCCCCTGAAGAAAAAATCCATATGTTCTAGTATTGGATGGACTTTTCTTTTTCAGAGGATGAGGATCAAGTCATCTTAGAGATTTGCTCGTCGTTGAGGGGGTGATTGCGCCTGTCCCCACCCACTCTCTTTCACCGTACCTTTATTTTTACCTCCCTTTTATCAAGGATATGAGAGTTCTTTTCCTATTTCCCCTTTTTCCAGGGAGATATTAAGAGTTCTTAATGTCTCTTCATTTCAGTTGTTTCTTAATAGTCAAGATTATATCAGGGCCTTCGAGATGGTTTGCGAAGATCTGGACATTACTCCAAACGTGAGAATTTTTTTCCTCCCTTTTTATCACTAAACCATCAAAGGTAGTTGAGTGTCCCCGAGTAGTTGACCGTAGAGAGGTATTTTCACCTCCCACTCCAATCATTATAAGTTTTGGAATGACAAATTCGTCCGGGTGAGGGGTGAGATTATTCCCTCGGGATGCTGGGATCTGACGATAATCACGAGGTATGACTCGGTGTTCCTTTCCTTTGAGGATAAAAGGATTGTTCACTTTTTATGGTAGTTAAATGTTATGGTCTATTGGGAAGTAATTAATCTCTTATTGGGGGTGGCGAGCATCTCACCGCCTTTATAGGTAAATGTCATTCTATCTTTCTTTCGCCAAAATTTTCATACCATTTATGATCCATGTAATATTTTGTAGATCAAATGGAAAAGATCTAGAACGAGGAGCGCATGAAAAGATGCGAGAAGTTTAAGTCTACTAGTTCGAGCACCAACATCCTGAAAAACCATCCTGAGGGTTTTATCCTCAAAGGGCAAAAGAGATTAACTAAAGAGCTGACACCCGATTTTCCATATGTGAAGGCTCAAAGGCCAGGAGATTATTCTCCTTCTGTCATTGATAAGGTGGGAGTGACGACGCCTTCTACAAGCAAGGATACTTTTGCTCCCACAACTTGGTGGCATGATATCGACTTTGACACCCTCTTGTTCAAAATCTCTCACCTTCCTTTATCTATATTTATCTAAAGAGTTATCTGCCAATTACCAAGCCCTTCGATCTAAACCAGTCTTGGCCATTATAAATATGAAGGAAACTCTTTTGTTGAGTGCTCTCATGCTATTGGGTGTTAAGCAGGAAAGGTGCGATAAAGCGGTGAAAGAGCTAGACGCGGAGCTCAAGGAGAGGAAAAAGGCTTATAGTGAGAGCCAAATATTTTTACAATCTCTTCAACAAGACAGGGAGAAATGGGAGAAGAGGTTGGCAAATGTTCAAGCCAAGGACAAATAGATCTCTGCTGAGAAGAAATTTTGCAATATTTCTTGAATATTTCACTCCTTTTCCAGAAGGGTTTGGAAAATGAGGTGTTAGAGCTAACCTACAAGGTAGTGTATGCTTTTGATGTCTACTTCGGGCGCTTCAAGGAATATGTTATCTTACTTTATCCCAAACAAGATTTGAGTCTCATGTAGTTTCTTAAAGTCTTGAGGGATGTTGCATTGATGAATGAATATACAATGGCCTCTCCTAAGAGCCTCGCTCCCATTGAGGGAACCCACAACTATAGTAAGAAAACGGATGGTAGTGTTTATGAGGTTCCTCAACCAAAGAACCATGTTAAGAAGATGGTGACCCAAGATGAAGAATGATGATTGGGTTTACATCTTGGCTCCTGGCATCACTTGTGTTTCTATTCCCTTTTGGGGTTTTTTGGTTGTACTTTTATGCCTCTTCAAGGGTTTTTGTAATTGTTTTGAACAACAACATCCAACAGGGGATACTTTTACGTTAAATGCTTTTAGCATGATCAATTTGTTTTTAACTTTTTCCTAAGGGCGTTTGTTGTCATGATAACTTGTGTAAGCTACAAAGTTCATATTTAAGGATCCACCAGTTGATCACCTCAAGGGGTTTAAATGTTCCCACATAAGGATCCATGAAATATGTACGCCTCATTGGGTGGCAAGGATCCCACATAAAGATCCAATAAATATCACCACATCATTAGGAAGAAAGGGTCCCACATAAGGATCCAACAAATATGACCGCCTCATTGGGCAACAAGGATTTTACATAAGGATCCAACAAATATGATTTCCTCATTGGAAACAAGGATCCCACATAAGGATCCAACAAATATAATCGCCTCATTGGGCGGCAAGGATTCCAAATAAGGGTCCAACAAGTATGATCGCCTTATTGAGTGGTAAGGACCCCACATAAGGATCTAACAAATATGATTGCCTCGTTGGGCAGAAAGGATCCAACAAAAGGATCTGGTAAATGTGATCTCCTCATTGGGACGACAAGGATCCCACATAAGGATCAAACAAATATGATTTCCTCCTTGGGTAGCAAGGATCCCACATAAGGATCTAGCCAATATGATCACCTTATTGGGAGACAAGGGTCCCACATAAGGATTCAACAAATATGATTGACTCATTGGGCAAATTTTAACCACCTTTATGGGCAATCTTCTTTCAAACTTTTACGCTTCCTGTAAAGAAATGAATAGCCAAAGACACATATTTTAACATAATAAAAAGTGAGGCACCTCCTTAAAAACCCTCACCTCCTGTAAGAGCGCGAAAAAGGGAAAATAATGCACCCTTCATAAAGTAACTTGTTTATTACAATTTTTAGAGATATAATACTCTCCCATATAAATAAAACAATAAAATTTAGATAGTGTTTCGAGATTCTAGTGGGTTTCTACAGACAGTTTTATCACTCAATTTAGATATTTTGAGATTCTAGATTTTCTCAATTTTACATGATATATGACATTATGTCTGATTTGTGTATCTTTTCAGTGCATATAACATTAAATTTACATCACCATTGATTTGTTTTTAATATATATAATATATGACTTTTGGACAGTGGGCACTCATGACACTGCTAAACCTAACCTTTAGTGTGGATAACTTAATATACCTTCGTTATCCTGGTGATCCATTATCTGCTGTCCGTGTGACTAGGAAGCGTCACACTGATCGTAAAAGACAACTTTCAAAAAGAAATGTATTGCAGTGCTTCGTTTTCGGACCTACGAATACTGGAAAATCTACATTATTAAATTCTTCCATTGGAAGGTATGTTATTGTGTTACCTTGAAGCATCCTGGTACTTAGCTTTCATTGGAAGGAACTTGGTTAACTATTATTGTATTTTTTGTGAATAAGGATCAACTTATGACTCATTCTTAGGAAAATGTGTGCTTCTTAATGGTTTTATGGTTTAATGAGATGTTAAGATTTTGAAGTAGCTTCCAAAATAAATTTGAAACCTTTTGTTCCCCACTCTCGTAACACGTCGTCTATTTTTTTGGTACATCTCATAAGTTGTAATTCATTGAAAAAAATCTTACAAATCTTCTGGTGCATCTTGCCTAACTATCTGTTGATGAATTGTTCCAACCAAGTGATTGCAATAATGATGGCTTATTCAATCATAGACCTTCGCAGTTAGCACCATCATATTCATATTCAATTTCCTAGTGTACTGTTACTATTTATCCTTCCATTCTCTGCTAACCAATTTCTTTTACAGAGCTTTTGCATAGTCTTAAGTTTAATCCTTGAAGTGGAGTTGGTGTTGCATATGTTGAACATTTGACATGTCTTTAATTTGAATTGTCTGTGCTATTTGATGAGAAATTAAAACACAATAATAGACCAATACGCAACGGATATAAAACTTCTCCAAACTTGTAGGAATCTTGAGGATCAACAACAAATATAAGACAACAAATCGAACAAATAAAAATACAAAAGAACACTGATATTTTTAACGTGGAAAACCCCTCAATATGAGAGTAAAAACCACGATTCGTTCAGACCAAAGAAATAACTCCACTATAACCAATAAAGAGACAAAAGAGTCTTAAATTGATTCACAAAGTAGTGCTAACAACCGCAGATCACAAAGCAAATTAGCTTACAAATAAGAATAAAAAAGATGAATTTTTTTTCAAGTTTGCAGCTTCAGTGCGAAACAAATAACTTTCACCTTAGATGTTGTATTGAAATTCTGAACGTTTAAAAGTTAGACATATGTGTTACGAATCTGCCTACCAAATTCGAGCTCGATCCAACGGTTAATGAATCGGGGATCGTCGATTTAGTGAGATTGGTTGCAGAAAAACGGGAATGAGTTTCTCTCATATTTTCTCTCTTTTGAATCCTTATTTTTTCTCTATCTCTTTCAACCCTAAATTGATTCTCTCCACTTAAATAAGTGAGACAAATGGGCTATCATATTTGGATCTTTCTCCACATAAGAAGTGAGTCCAAACCCAACAATATTTTCATTGTGCAGGTTTTGGCAATGGTTGCGATAATATTTAAGGTGTGGGCGAGAACTCCTCATGATGTATGTAGAAAATATCTCATTATACATGTGTTAAGCATTGAAGTTGTTATTTTCTTAATTGTAGCTTTTTACATTCTTAATGAATTTGGTACAGTTGATTCTTTCCTGATCATGTTAACCTATACTTAAAATGTGATTTTGGATTTATGGTACATTGATGTTTGGCTTGGAATTATAGCTTTGTTATTTGCAATTATGGTACTTAAACTGTGTTGGCCCACACAATTTGCATCAACTGATTTGTATTGTGAAGATGTTGTGTAGAACTCTACTTCTAAAGAGGTAAGTTGCCATATATGACTATAGCATGGAGCTCAAATGTTTTATCCATGACTGCTTTGGTGTACCTAATACCAAGTTTTTTTATTTGAAATGAGAATATATGACTTATTCTTTTCATGATTAGAGTATTATTTCTTTATCTATCATAGTGTATACTTGTCATAAGTTATTGAAAATATGTGACTAAGTAAATTTTCCTTTCTCTTTCATGTGGCTCTTAATATTGTGTTGTTTACACTGCATGTATAAAATGCATTGCTTAGTCGCCTGATAGTAAACAAGTAACTACTAGATCAATTGATACATGTGTCATTATATATGAATTGGACATCAATCATTAAGTTGTAGAAACATTATGTGCTCATTTAGGTGAAATCTTTCGGTTCACTTTTATTGAAAATATAAGAGTTGTTAGTTTTGAGAAAAATAAGTGCATTAGTATTTGAAATTTGAATTCAAAATAAACCACCATCTAAATCTGCAATGCATTTTGTAGGTATGGTAAGAAGTTGTGTAACATTACATGATGACTATCTTTCTTGCTCAATTTTCTCCAAGCAGTGACATTTTATAAAGTAGTTGAGATAAGTGACAAAATTCAAGCAGCGACAAAATAGTCAAAATACAACTTATAAATTTTCTTAGGTGACAAGATTCAATTATTGAAACTTAAATTAATTAAATTTCTTTAATAGGCAAAATAGTCAAAATACATAGTCAAGATTCACTTATTATTTTCCTGTACATAAAATCAAAATATAAAACATTTTAGAAAACTTAAAATAAAAGGCTAATGGTTGAGATAAAACACAACACTGATGCGAAACTGGATGCGAATTATTATTCATATAAATAATATTCAAGCATAATTGAATGTAGGTGCCAATGTGTTCTCTCCAAGAATCGTATCATCTCCACAGAGAATTTGGCAAACAATGAAGTGGGAATTTGATGCTTGCTTCAGCTGACATGATTTAATAACTCATGCTCCATTTTCTCACTACGATGTCCATTGTTTAAACGATCACGTTCCAATCTAACATTCTCATTTTCATCCATCATTGTATAAATGCATCATTTTCATCCATCATTGTATAAATGCATCTGCCAAGTATTACATGGTTAGATAGATAGAGAAAAAAATAATACGGAATATTTTATTTTGGAATTAAAACACTAATAAATAGATTATTTCCAACTCCCATATAATACTAGAATACTAGATAGATAGGGGTGAATCTAATTACACTTGCCAAATTATAGGCATGCAAAAATAAGTTTCAACACTTTAAATTTTCAGAGTTTATTTTTCAAATTTTAATATTAAAAAGAACTTTAACAAGAAAATAGAATATTTAAAACTACATTTTGGAAAATTTTATTTATATATATTTTGAAGTGTTTTAAAAAAATGTAAATTTTTTTCCAAAAACATTTAATATTAAAAATTATTTACTCAAAAAATCTAAAACAAACGTGCCTTTTATATATTTTTTATAATCAATTTAAGACCTTTTATATATTTTTTAATCAATTTAAGAAAGATTTATATTTAAATTAGGATTCAGTACATTTGAATGTTTGTTGAAGATAATTTTTGACTAAAAGAGTTAAAGCCAAATTATGACACACAGTATATTTTAATTTTTAAATGAATATATTTAATTGTGTAAATGAAATATTTTATATTAATAAAATATATGAGTATCACATTAATTAGTATATGTGTATTGAAATTAGAACTCATAATAATTTATAATATCAAATTATTTAGTTTTTTATAACATCAAATGTTTATAATTAAATCTCATTGCTTGATTGAAGTTTATATCAGCACATAAATATTTTAATAAAATATTTTATTTTATGAGTCATTATCATATAATATTTATTTTATATTAGTTTAATTCTTATTTTTAAATATTAAAACTTTATTTAATTTTTTCATCTCAAAGTTATCTTACTAGTTACTGTAGATTGCAAGTGTTGGTAACGGCTACTTTTTTTGTCTTTATTTCTCTCTCCACATTTTCTGTTTTACAAGGCAATGAAAGCCCAATCCAACCAAAATAGAATTTAGAAAAGGTAACCAACCAAACGGTCACTCTGATTTGGCAATGACAGAACAACAAGAAGAACCAGAAGAACAACAACAACAACCATTGTTGCTGAATACTACGAAAGTTGTCGAGTATTTGGAACCATTCATGTCATTAGAGCTTCTCTGCAAATTCCCAGACAACTCTGCTTATGACTTTGACTACTCTCAAAGCACAATCTGGTCCCCTTTAGTTCCTAGACCCTACTCTCCCATGGATTTGGATCTCATCACTCCGAAGAAACTTTCCTATGACTTTGCCATAGGAGCTAGATGCAGTGTCAACAAGGTTGGTTCTAAGGTTAGCAAGAAATTCAGTTCTAGTTCCTTCAATCTCAAATTTGATTTCGTTAAGAAAGTTAAAAACAACAAGAAGGTGGCTTCTGATTTGTTGCCAACACCTCCAAGGGTCAAATGTGCATGGAATCCCATCATCAATAATAAGGTATTTCTTTGTTACCGTTTAGAAATCTGAAAGTGGGTATTCATTCATCAAAACTTTGTTTTTTAATTTCTTTTTAACTCAAAATTTGAAGTTAGTAAAGTGTTGAATTTGATGTATTTGTTGGTAATAACTTGTGGTTACCATATGATCCAGCAATGGGGCAGGGCATTGAAAGCTGCCACAAAACAGTTCAAGAAATGGAAGGTGAAGAGAGACCCCGTAGCACATGTGATGCTACAGAAGTCTTTCAAAGATGGAGATTTTTAAGTAGAGTGAGTGATGTTAACATTGTTATTTTTAGAGCCAAATTCTCTTTAGAGAATTAATTGCTTTTTGAGAAAATATCTCTTTGTCAAAGAAATTATTACGATTGATCTGACCAACATTATTTGATTATGTATTCTAAAACATTGCCTATAATGGCATGAAAAGTTTGACAATCTGATCTTATCAAAGAATCAGTTTAAAGGGAATGAAAGTGACAATTATATTTACTTGTGATTCTAAAAATAACATTTGCAAATATTTGATTCTAACATTCAGAATGTAAATAGTATGAAATTGTTGTTGGGTAACCATTTTGATATGAAAGATTTCCGAAAGAAATGAGTGTAATCTTTAGTATATGATTAGTATATAGTAGTGTTTATTGGTATTTTTAATAAATAATCACGAGTTTTAATTCATTTATATAATTAAACTCGAAATTTTTTAAAGAACTCTTTCAATTAAATGTTTAAGAAAATGTATCAGGGTTAAAAAGTTTTTCAATGTAAAGATTTAAAGTCGTAAACCAAAAAAATGCTTAAGCGGATAAAACTAATAAAGAAAAATATAACAATAAAGTAATTGGATAAAAATATTTGAATTAAGAATGGAACTCAAGTTCATACATTTCTCACAAACTTATTATCTTTGTAACTCAGATATGTGAATTCTAAAGAAAACATAATAAAATATGAACCCCCATTATATACTTGTTGGCTGAGATTTCGACACACATAAATGTTTGAAATGAGTCATAGGATTCAAATATATATTCTGAAGAAGAATATGTTGACTTCGACGAAACATTGATGAGAATATTTCGACGCATGATCTTTTTACCAAGGAAGTTATGGTTTAGGACTTAGAAATATTTTGGATTAGACTAGAGTTCGACGAAGCTTACCTGAGGTAGCGTTCGACGAATATAATTCAAAATAAGGTTGATAACTATTTTTTTGGCCTTATCCATTTTTTAAGACACGTGGAGAGTTTTGAGCGGCGAAATGCATGCAAATTGAAGACATGACATCTTCTGGCGAGGAGACCGTTAGATAGCGGTTATTTTCGGGTTATTATAAATAAAGTCTTAGCAGTTAGGATTCGAGGGTGTTCAACTTTGTACAAAAAACTCTAAATTTACTTAAAGTACCTGTGTGTGAGAAACGAGTGTTCTTGAGTGAAAATGTACGTGTGAATACCATACTTTACACTTTTTACCAAATTATTTAAGATTCTTCTTGTCAATTACATTATCTGCAATTTGCTTTAAAAGCTCATTTCGACATTTAAGATTCTCCCATTTATCTTGAAGCTTTTTACTTTGTAATCCATACTTCTGCATTTCTTTAAAGAATTATGATGCTTCTGTAACAACTTTTAAGAACATTGTCGAAATGTTCATAATTAACAAACCCAGAAACTAAATAACAACAGATGTCCTAGGATCAATCTAGTCGATCTTGTAAGTAACCAAAGACTTAATAAATTTGGAATACTAGCAGTTGTTTATCAATTTCGAAGGTAATCAAATTGGCACACCCGGTGGGATGAGTGTTGTTAGTTAGAATTTGTGAAAAAAATTTAGAAGTTCTTCATTTCTGGTTTCTTTTAACTTCGTTGCATAAGATTAAGAAGTGACAAAATAACCACTAATAACAAAGCAATACCAAGAAGGAGACGCGTACCGATGGCGAATTCGCCAAATAATAATGGAGAACAACCCCGTCCCTCGATAGAGGAAACTACGACCACAATGTCTATGTCCGAAGTAATTTCATCCATAACAAGTACGACGGTCGTACCGTCAAATGCTTACAGTGGACCAATTTTGTCTCCTGTGAGGACGCATGGTCAACAAATGACCCCTCCTCTAGTGGGTACTAGCGTATTCAGGCCTTATGTGCATGGATTCACAATGCCTTTAAATGGTCAAGAACAACCATATGACATGCCAACTTCGATGATGGAAAGTTTACACAATACGACCACAACATTCGTTGAGCTAGTGGTGAACACGTTTTCGCTTGTGCAAGGGTCTGGATCTATTTTTAATAATATAGGTCAAATTAACCCACCCCAAGGATGGAATTATCTACCTAAATACCCAATTTCACCACAAACTCTACAGCAGTTTTGAGGCAGCAAATGGACGAGAGTAACCATGATATGGTCCATATGCTTGCCCAACAAATGGGCACCATGTTTAATCCTTTAACTCAGAATCCCACCCAAATGAAACAACAATTAGCAGCGTAGATGACTCAAATTACATATTTCTTTGGAGTTCCGCAAGCGCCTCGACAGATCCGAAGGAAGTTGGTGGTTAAAAACCAGGGGACAATCCTTGAAGAAGATCCTACAATTAACCAAGCCCAGCAAAATGCACCCTGTGTCGATGTGGCTAATCAAGGAGTTAGAGTCGAACCTCCTAGGTCGAACAACCAGTTCTAAGGGAGCAGGAACCAAGGGTGGTAATAGTTAATAGGAATCAAGATGCAGATGAAGTCGTACATCAAGTTCGATATGATGATATGGCAAGTGATAATAATTTGGCTGCCATGGTCGAAAGGATTATGGCATGAAATAGGGTGAATGTTGGCCTCCATAGGCCAAATTATACTTTCCTATTGTCTGATTATATTTTGCAAACTGAATTCCCTAGAGGATTAAAAGTCCTAAAATTCACAAAATTTTCAGGGGATACTAGTGAATCAAATATCGAGCAGGTTGCGAGATATCTGACTGAAAAAAACGGTGGATCTTGCGAATAACGAAAACTTAAGAATAAAGTACTTCCCTAGTCCACATGTAACACCCTTCTAAACCCTTCGAAATATATATAAATAATCAGAGTAAATTATCATGCATCTCACAAAAGGGTGTCACATAAAATTTCAAAACATCACACATATACTTGTCATGTTCAATAAAATGTCACATAAAATTATCATGATTTTCATATACTTTCACATAGCGTGTAGCAGCGGATTTACTTCAGTCATAAATAGACCTAATGAAAGTGTCATGCTCATCTCATTCATAATCATCACTTAGGAATAAAGGCCAATATTCCACATAAGTCAAACCAAAAAAAGTGCGAACTCTCCCAGACAACAAACCAGAAAAGTGCGATTTTTGGAGTTTGGAGGCCTTCCGGACCTCCGAATTCGATTCCGTAAAACGTTCCAGTTCTAGAATTTGAAATACTACCATTATATGACAATTATAACAACATATAACATAAATTTAAGGATCCTACTATCATACATCATGTAATCATCAATTTTAAAATCATGGAAATTAGGTATTTCGATCCTAAATATGATACTACGCATTATACACTACCATACAATCCCATAACCATGTAAAGACTCATCCTTACCTTGACTTTTGATGATTCTTGAGCTCTCTCTCTTGGTTCTTCTCTTCTTCTCCACTCCTCTTTCCCTCTTGCCTCTTTCTTCCTCCTTACTAACTTTTTCTCTCTTTCTATTCTTTTGTTAAACCCTAACATTGTCTTAATCAATTGGGCTTAACTCAACCAACTCTCACTTACTATTAGTTGTACCCCAAAATTTAACCAACCATTTCTTGTACTTGACTTATGTTTCTTTTCATTTTAGCATTTGCATTTGCATAACATTGTCCTTAACAGGGGATCAAGAGATTTGTTGTGCCATTTAAGAGGAGGGTCTCTTTGGTTTCAAGCTCAAGCAAGAGATATTTGTGCAAGCCATCAAGTGTTTATCATCATCATGGAAAAGTTTCAAAGCTCTTTGAAAGAAGAGATTGGTGTGTGGTTGTTACCTTTTATCTTGAGGATTATCAAAGACTCATCAGAGGATTATCAGGAGTTCATGAGTTCATTCATTTGGACAAGACATGGCCTACAAGCCCATTGTATACCTTGAGGGGTCTTTGTGGAGCTTGTTCAGTTATTCAATTCAGCTGCAAAGGGCATAAACAAAGGATATGAAACTATGGTTTCACATATAATCAGCCTAGACTTATTTCTTGGAGAAAGACTTGTTTCCATAATCTTCCATGTATCCTAAGGTGTTTAGAGATAGAGGATTGATCATAAATTTTAACCAGAAGAGCTTCAATTGGTCAGTCAATTACAAATTAGGTAAATTTGGGGAAAAGTCAATTGTGCAGAGGAAAAGTCAACTCCTGACTTTTTGAGGTCAAGATCATGCTCCTCATGTTTAACATGGCCAATGGGTGAAAATTGACCAAGGAATGTCAAAGGGATCACAAAGAAATCAAGAAGTTTGAAACTTGCCATTTTTGGAAATTTAGGGTTTTAGAAACTTTCCATTTATGGAAAGTTTCATGGTTGAATCAGCCATCTTCAAAGCTACTTTCCTTCATGATCAAGTGTCCAAATGGATTTTTGGCCAACATCAATGTTATTCCTTATCTTCTGAGCTTTCTCTTGAGTACCAATTCATCATCATGTGATGTTTGAAGCTCAAGTTATGATGTTCAAAAGTTAGGGTTTTCAAAGACATCAAATTTAGCAAGTTTGGGCAGAAATTTAAACCAAATTTCCAAGGCAATTTTCATCAAGTTCCTAATTCCAAATGAAATTTTGTCCCACATGAGAGTTGTAGGTCATGTTCCAAGCTTTTCATCCATTACTAGAAGTTTCTCATGAGATTAATGAAGCTCAAGTTATGGGGATTCAAAGTTAGGGTTTCAATTGAATCAAAACTCATAACTTAGAACTTTTTTCTAAGTTATTTCAAGGCAAATTTCATGACATGGTATTCAAGCTTAACTTTCATGACTTTCCAAGTTGCAAATCAAGATTTCTTCAGCATAAAAGTTGTTCCTTATGATACTAGCTTTCATTTGAGTCCAATTTCCAATCAAAAGGAGCCATCTGCATCAAGCTATAATGGTTCAAAGTAGGTGACTTGGAAGACATTGCAAAACATGATTCATGGATGATTTCATCAAGCTATAATGGTTCAAAGTAGGTGACTTGGAAGACA